AGAGAGAGAGAGAGAGAGAGAGAGAGAGAGAGAGAGAGAGAGAGAGAGAGAGAAAGAGAGACGATAACTATACATACATTATGCGTCGTTAATTAGTTAAATATCAATGTTCGATATTTATGTCTCGGTTATATTTTCGATGATTATTCTAACTATAATGTAATTCTGTTATAAATATGTTATTGACGTCAGTCATTGCACTCGACAATTGTGCAACGTGGAATTGGGAATCTGCCTCACGATAATATTCGACATTACAGTTTTCACGTATGTTTTATTGTGTGTGCATATATGATGAATTATAATTAATATAAAAAAAAACGCAGATAAATTGCCTCGGCATTGAAAACACACGTTTCGCGCTGTTAATTAACGATGCTCGTCAGATCTGTCGTACTCATGGTTCTCAAACGCGTATCTTTATCGGAATTATAACTTTCACGATTAGTGTGGAAAGAATCCTCGCCCTTTTCTTTATTGTAACCCTGTTCGCGACTCTCTGCATGCCCCTTGTCATAGTGAGCCTTCCTCCCGTTGTTTTCGTAATCGGACTGCGACTCACGATGTCCGCTCTCCTTGAAATCGCCCGTAGAGACGTTATAATGTCCGTCAGCGGCGGCGTGCTTGTCGAAATAGCCTTTCTTGTGGCTTTCGTCATAGAAATCGGTATCTTTTTTATATTCATCCTTGTGGTAGACTTTATGAAAGCCGCTGGTCTTTTGTCCCTTTTTGCGGTACGACGTTTGCCCATAGCTGCTGCCCTTTTCGCCCCATGTGGCCTCATCGTCCCGTCCATAATTTCCGGCCACGTCGCTGTGCTCTTTTTTGTTTTCGGTTTCGGTATTGTAATGTTCTGAAAGATCCAGCAAAAAGTAATCCCCGCTTATATATATATCGACAATATGTCGGAAAATACAAATACCTAAGCATGTATTGAAAAATCGATAAATGTGTATTGGGAGGGTAAACAGATATTCTACCTAGCTGCCCGCCTTCATCGTGCCGTCCGTGTTCGCCCACGTCAAATTTTTCTCGTTTCTGGTACTCTTCGTTAGCCTTCTCCCCGTGAGCGGAATTTCGCGCCGCTGAATGCTTTACGCCGTCGCCGTGCTCAAAAGAAACGTCGGTGTTTGAATGAGAGTTGTGGACCTGGTGATTGGAATCGCTTTGTCTCTCGCGATTTTCAATCGCTTGATCTTTATTCTCATCTTCGTTTTCAGCATCATCACCATCGTCGTCGTCACCGACGTCATCATCATTATCATCATCATCGTCATCATCATCATTATCATCATCATTATCATCATCATGACTATCATCATCTTTGTTTTCACGCTCAGTTGCGTTATCGTCGACTCTTTTATTGACGCTGCTCCGTGTTTCCGTCGGTTGAAACGCACTCGGCGTGTAATATGGTGCACGCGGAGCCAGCTTAGGCGGCTCAAGCGGTTGCGCGTATTTCGCTAATTGGCCCACGCCATAATTAATGAATCCATCGCGCGGGTAAGGCTGGCGCGCTGCGTACGGTGCAATTTCGTGCTTCGTAGTCGTCGTATACGGGAGCAGGACGGTTTCGTGCGGTAACGCAGTTTCAGAAACGGCGGGCGCAACAGGTGCAGGACTGCCGACGACGTAATGCACCGGCGTCGGTGCATGGTAGTAACGTCCGCTTCCGTGATTGGTGTACCGCACGTACGAGACCGGAAGGCCCGGTCGCTGATTGTACGCGTATCCGCCGGCGGAGGACTCGAGATCGGCCATTCTCATCTTAGAGACCGTCATACGCGCAGTGGCCGTGGGCGATGCATTATTGTCGCGCGCGCCGGTGAGCAGTAACGCGGCTATCACTAGTAAACTCGCGATCATAGCAATTGCAGCCTAGTTCCTCGCAAACACGGCGCACCGGATTACAATCCCTATTATACCTCACGGCTCAATTGTTCGGCACTGTCGTATCCGTTCTACCGCTTTATCGCTTTATATACACACTCTGGAAGGACGTTTGTCCTTCCGTCGCGTAAATAATCCATCGCTTGGAGCCGTTGTTTCAGGGCCAGTCGTTGACGCGCCGAGTGCGAGATGAAACACGCGCTGTCGACGACGTCATTCTATTGCTATCAACGACATCAGCCAATGTCTCGCCGACTTTTGCGTAATAATTCGGCGAGAGATTCGTCACGGAGGGTACTCGAGACGATAAAAACAGCGCTTCGATCAAAGTACTCGCGATTATTTTACGGATTTTTGTAAACTTTTGTGCAAACTTTGCAAAACGGCTATCTGGAGCATCTCTTCTGGAAATTTCTACTGAGGAATCTAATTCGACACGCGAAATTGCTCCGCATCGGCGACTTCGCACGACCTTGAATCGCATGTTACGTCAGAGACGTTCGAGTCGCCGTGTGAAATCGCGCGGCTTTGTCGAAACGTCTCGCAAGTCGTCCTTCCAGATGCATTTGGCACTCCTGGGCGAGAGAGTCAGCGATCCCCGGCTCGGTCGAGCGATTGTCGCGCGATATAAAAGAGCTGGTATTATCCCGCGGTCATTACAGTGCGTGTCAGCGCGATTGCCCGATTGCCCGAGTCACGTTATACGTCGGAGACTTCCTGGCTTCTCTGTCAAGTTGCCACCTTAGTCCGGGCACAAATCCGCGGATTCACTATCAGGGCTCGCGAGGTCACGTGAGAAGGAAATGAGAATCCTCGGAGGATGGTCCGACGCGGGATGGTGCGTCATTTGCGCTCTGCTGAGCGTTTGCGCGTTTCCGCTGAGAGAGAAGGCTAACGAGATGCATTACATCGGTCGCTCGAGATCATCTGACTCGAAATCGATGGCCAACGGCTACGGGTTCGGGGAGATATCCGCGAGTAAATCGTCCGAGATCGTTGAGGACAGCCTGGAGGAGTTAGGGGAAGACGAGGAGGAGGAGGAGGAGGAGGAGATACCGCCAACAATGAGGGCTATTACCGCAAGGGCAAAGAGCGACGTTGCCCTGCTACCTTTGATCATAGAACCCGAGGCGGAGATGTTGCCGCCTGGTTATAAGGGCGTCAAGCCACCCGGCGTCAGCCACATGGAACTCGTGTTCGTGAAGCCGCAAACTGGCCAGTCGGATCACCGTAGGAGCGCGATGTCGTACGCCTCACCGACGGGCGAAGGGAATTTCGACATCGGTGAGTCCGATGGATTCGATCAGGATCGCGACGCGTATTACGCGGCATCCAAGCACGAGGCGCAGATTACGAGAAACGACCGAGGCGGTGATAGACGCGTTGTCTTCGAGACGGCTGTCACGGGCGACACGAAAAAGCAGAGTGAGAGAAGCGAGCGCACTCAATCCTCGGGTAAAGGTAAGAACTATTCCGAAAGTGAGAATCACGCCAAGGAGTATGTAGATGGGATCGCGGGGAAAAAGGATGTCGCCTACGAGAGCGGGGATAGCCGTGAGAAGGCCCGTAACGCCGCCGGATATCGCAATGTTTATCAGAAGGACGAGATGAAGAAAGACGCGGACTTCTACGACAACGGACGTCAGGGTGGACACTTTGAGAAGCACGGTCGATACGGCGAGAAATATGCCGCCGCTGAAGGGATGTACGAGACAGGCGGCAGCAACGATTCCAGGCTGGTCAAGACGAAAACTAATAAGCGACGGAAGTTGGAGAAGGCGAGGGCCAACTGAGAGAAACCCAAGGTCAACGCTGCGATGGATTCCGGGGGAACTTAGACGGATTCATAAGGTTACAAGCCGGCTTAGCGTGGAGAGCTAAAAGTTCGTCTTCAGCGACGACAGCCGGACGATAGCATTCACACGTGACGTTCGTGTGAGATTTGCGGTTGTATAGTAGATTGAGGGGGAATAATCGAAATCACGCGCGCGAACGCGAATATAAATTGCTGCATGGTGTCGCGTGTATTCATTTATTTACATTTTTCACGTCACACTTTATTTATACACGCGTCCTTATATATTTAACCAAATATAAAGAAGACATGGGTCAAATCATACCCTTGTTTGTATATTTATTCACTAGCTTTTTCCTATTAACCTTCTAGCCGTGCTCTGGGTCTTTTTTGACCCAGAGCAGTTTCAAAGTTTACACAAGTTTTTGTAATATTCTAAATACAAATGTGATACTTTGCGATTTTTTGAGTTATTTTAGAAAAAAAGTCAGTACATATTGTACTAAATTACTTTATGTAATACTAAAATAAGATATAAAAAAATATATATATATATGTCAATTAAATAGTGAGTTCTCACCATTAGTTCTATTTAGACCCTGGTCAAAGTATACTCGAAACAAACACGGTTAGAAGGTTAAGCATATTTTATTAAGTATATTGAATTAAGCAAGGTGTGTAACATCCTCTTTTCTCGATTTTTTCAATTTTACACTTCCATTTCCTTTAGTTAAGTACAATAAAAGAAGTACAGTAAGTTAAATACAATAGAACAAAATATTTTTTCAATTTTACACTTTCATTTCCTCTAGTTAAGTACAATAAAAGAAGTACAGTAAGTTAAGTACAATAGAATAAAATATTAAGTAATAAAAGGAGTTTCGCTAATTTAACAAAATATCAGTACCTGCAACAAATGGTTATATGGATATATATGGTTAATGTTGATATGGGATGGAGTCATTAAAATATAGAGTCTGGACAGAGTTCTTTTATTTCTTATTGGTGTGAACATGATGGTGTGGGCATTTTTTATACAATATTTTCTAATAAACATTAAATAAAATATTCAAGATTAGAAAATTATTTTCGTGATATTAGTGTTATTCGCAACTTTTTATTTTCTCTTTATGTATATAATTAAACTTATTTTCTATAAAATTATTTTATAAAAGTTACTTATTTTACACTTATACTACCTATTTTACAATTCTTTTTCTTAAAATAACATTAAATATTTATGTATCGTGAAACGATTTCGAACTAATAACGTGCGACTAAGTCGATATAACTTTATAGTCAGAATTCATAATTCGATCTTATATTTAAGATTATTTTGAGATGCTCCGTAGTCAATGAAATCAATACATTATCTAAAAACGAACCTGAGATGATTCTAAATATAAGACTCGACTATATATGAATATCTTATGTTTATAAACGACGTCATGTTTTGCTTAAATTAATAATCTGTCTTGACTGTATTTAGTGACTCTAATATAGGATAAATGACCCCGTAGTGGGAATAAATGGTTAGTTATGTTCAATTTGCTATTCTAAGCAATACTTCTGTAATGGAGACATAACAAACCTAAACTAACCTAAATAGACAAGAACAAATATGATTTGTACACTCGAACGCAACGATTCTATCCCATTTACTAGATCGAAATTCATCTGGGTTGCATTTCAAAAAATTTCCTTTTTAAGGAAATTTTTCTCGATATTCTATAATATATGTAATGTGAACTATAGATATTGAGTAAAAAGTTTTGGAATGCAACCCTGAAAATTTCCAACCAGCTGTATTTGTTTCTAACTATGCGTTTCTGAAAACTGTTGATTGATCTAGCAGAAATGAATCTAAAACTAATGTCATATTTTGATATTAGTTCTGATATTTCATTATATAAAAGGGGTTATTCGCTTTCCCCCTCCACCTCTTTCCCCGTATGACGTGTAATTAATAGAGGAAGAGTAAAAATTTTAAAAGAGAGATGAGTAAGAAATTATACAATTAATTTTGTAAATGTATACAATTCAGTCATACGAACTGATTTTTAATACTCTGTAATAAAAATCTCACTGTAGAAACAAATAATCCCTTTTACAGATGTATGCGAAACGTCAGGCTGTCAAAATGTCACTTTGTGGACACATTCGCGCTTGCTAGATTAATCAACAGTCATCAGAAACACGTAGAGAGAAACTGAAAGTGGCTAGTCGGCAATTTGTGACTATTGATCTAGTGACTGGTACAGAAGACATATGCCTAGCCATTTCCTAGCCATGTGTTCTAATCGAGAGTTATTAAAAATTTTCGATCTAACGCATTCGTTTCTGGATAGTCAAGGGTCGTGACTGTTGATTATTTGAAGAAATTGCGACGATGTTAAGTAGCTGTGACACTTGGACAGCTTAATGTTTTATTTGCGGTTATAATTTTGCTTGCGATGTTTATAATTGCGGTTATTCATTCATGTGTTATGCGTAATCGTGATATTATCAACATAATTATAAAACATAGATAACGATAGAAGCAATTAAATACAAGAGTTTACTAACTACGATTGTTACTAAACTGGATTAATACTGCAATTCTAAACAAAATTATAAAATTCGTAACTTGTTTTCGCAAGACTCGTAAGAGCTTATGAATAGGCCTACAATTCTATGCAAACCGTATGTTATGTGATAACTCATAAATTCTACGATTTTTTTAATTTTTTTCATAAGCTACGACTACGATTTACAGTTTACTCGTATATTTGCTTAAAATTGCATAACATTACTATGTAACAGATTTCATCGTTGTTATTTTTTCGAATAGCAAGAACAAACAGTCATGACTTTTGACTATCTAGAAACGATTGTGTTAGGTCAAAAGTTTTTATTCTCAATCAAGACATGGCTAGAGAATGGCTAAGCAATCATGTATATAGTATCTGTATGTTCGAGTCTATTTCAGACAATGTAGATTTGTTCAAATGAGACAATGAGAAAAAATTTGCAACTGTATCTGTTTAATATGTTTCTCTAACAATCATTAAACAGCGGGTGTGCTTTCGTTCTGATAACCGAGAGATTTTTCTCAGTATAGTCTTTGATTCCGACGCGCGAGTATTTCTCATATTTGCCGGCGACGAGCGATCGTGCGCCTTGCGATGCATTTAATTTCCCGTTTATCCCGCGATTCATCGCGCGACACGCCGATCATCGCGGTTTTTATCTGCACGAGCCGGCAATCGTGCGCGGTCCGAAACGCTCGCGGCGGCGGTGGTGTGGCCGGTTAATGGATATTAATAATGCCCGCATTGCCGCGCCGATAAATTGCGATCTTTCGCGAGTGGCGGCTCGGCCAAAATGAAAATGAAGGCGCGTAATTGATGCATACGGGTCGCTACGTATCTACGCTTCTCGTTGCGGCCTCGCCGTCGGTCGGTCCGCGGGGGTTTTCCACTTCGGTAACGTATACCTATCGGTCTCCACCATTCCCGCGTCTGACTACGATATACGTATAAAGCCCGCATCCTCTTCGTGGCTCAGTGAGCTCGGGTTCTCCGCATTCATCAACAATAAGCCGCGGCACCTACCCACCCTCGCATACGTACCTGCCGCGGCCACCTTATACGTGTACGTGTACGGCGCACACCCTCGCGCTCGCACCACCTCCTCTCGTACACGCGCCGTCCTCCGCCATATACATATATGTATATACGTGCACGCATGCGTTTGTATTATATATGTATCTGTGCTCGTTTATGTATACGCGTATATGAAGGTGCATGTATATCGGAAGCGGTGGAACGCGGCGCGAATACATAAATCAGGCGCCGCTCTGCAGGCTGCCACCCATATCACTTCGTACAACGGCCATGAATGAATAGAGCCGTGTTTGAGTTATCGTCCGACCTGGTCTTCCAGAAACTGCGGAACGCGGCGTTAAGTTTTACCGCCCGGAATGCCTCTTAATCGCGGTGAAATGTCATCTTCTTCGGTTGCGCATGCGCGCAGTTCCAGAGAACTCGAAGAGAAATGAGAAATCGAGCGAGTCGTTTGATTGTATAAATTATTGCTCGACTCGGGCGTTTCGCTCTTTCCCTCTTTCTCGTAAAATTCCACGAATTCGCTCGCGAAAGCTCAGCACGATTGTACGTACGTAACAAACGTTAGCTCCCGGATAATCTATGTCAAAGAAGTAGATCTGACGGCTTCTCTCTTTCTCTTCCTCTTTCTCTCTCTCTCGCTTCGATGGCGCGCGCGATGTCTTACCCCGAGAAGAAATGCAATTTATCTTCCGATAATCTCCAATCCTTCCAAAGCGGACGTACGGCTCGTATCTTGCTTTCCTTCCGTTTTATTTGACTGTCACACGTTCGACGCGATTCTCCAACGGCTGATTTCGGTGGTCTGATCGTTTTCTTGTCATAGTTTATTCTTGCCCGTGCATCTTCGAATCTGACGATGAAGCCGTGTGAGCAAACTCTATTGGAGAACACATCGTGAAGTATGCGCTGATCATAGGAAGATGAAAGTAGCGTGAAATATAATATGGAAATATACGGACATAGATTGGTACATTGACATCGTTGGACCAACATAATACCCTTAAAGTAGTTGTTTCGCGATAATATTCCGTGAAAATTATGTTAAGTAATAGTTAATATAACACGAAACAAATCTGTAAATGTTTATAAACATTATTTATAATATTCATACACATGTACGCACACACACACAGCTTTGGCATCCTATAGCAACAGAATATCAATGAAATTTACATAACGTTTAAAAACTCACAAGGAAATAATCGTTTCTTTGAAACGATTCTTTCTTTGTATTAACACTTTTGGCTTGGACTATCTGTGTTAAGCGTATGTTTGTAAATATTATTTGTTACTTTATTATTAAATTATCATACGTATTAATAAACATAATTGGAAACGTTACTTCAAAAAACGCGTTACCATTATCGTTACTTTTTGTACAAAATAACTC